GGGAAGGGATGGGACAAGGAGCAGGTATGAATTTCATAGGCAAGCCCCTGAGGCAATCAGAAGGGTCTCTGCTGCTGTCCAATTTTTGTCAATAGTATTTTGTGGGAAATAATAGTCATGAAGTAATAATAGCCATGCAGAGACTAGGAGCAGGTCACACTTACCTGTCCCTTCCTGTTCCACTATTTTCAGTCCATTTGATAGTCTAAAACATGATCTTTCAACTCTCTCTGGCCACCTGAGACCTACACACCTGGACTTCAGTCTTCTGGTCACACCTGCAAGTTCCTAATGACATTTACTTCTGTGTCCCTTCTTTCCAACATTGAATGACATTCAGAAAAAAAGCCCCTTGAAACTACCTATTGTTTTGGTAAGGGTGCTTATGAGGATATTGTCTCTTACATCACACAGGGCCTCCTGGGAATTGTAGGAAAGGAAGTTCCAGAAAAAGTTCTGCTTCTCCTGAATAGCTGGTTTATTTTTAACAATTGTGTGATTCTTATTATTGATAGCATTGCCCACTTTGCTTTGACTGCCGAGTTCAGAGTCAAACCTGTGTTGTGCCACCAGTAAAGAATGCAGGGTCCGGTGGCACCACTGAGTATCCCTGAGCCACCTCTGCGCCACATATTTTCCTGCACCAGGCTTTCTTCACTGTAATGGCTTTGCCTTTTTGTAAATCCTGTTTTCCTCTACACAGCTCTGCAAGCCATGACTAACGCTCTGGGAGGAGAGAAAAAGGTATAAACAAGTGAAGAAACATATCAGGTGGGTAACTGACAGAAGCAACTTGTGTTAAAATAGTTTTACCCCTGCCTTTTTTGGGAAACTTGCCTTGTCTGTCTTTAAATGGTTGTGTCTACAAAGTAACATCTTCCATTGGAGGTGTAGAATATGTCTTTCAATGACCATTAATGTTTAATTTTGATAGCTTTATTCCCACCATTGGACATAAAGAGCTTCTAGTGAGCTCTGCAAGAGCGTTCCAGGAGTCTTCTCCAAGACAACAGAGACTCTAGGCCGTTCAGGGGAGCTCCGACAGACCTGGGCAGCAGTGAAGGTCAGCAGGGCTAAATAGAAGGACCCAGAGGTCTGAAGGAACAGGTGTGAAGTGCTGAGATGAGGAGAAGGTCACACTTATCCGTCCCTTCCTGTTGCCTTTCTCTGGCCACACTCCCTGGTCCACCATCCTTCTCTGGGCCTCCGGTTTCTCCCCCCAAAAAGGGGAAGAGCTGCTTGCTGGGTGGGTCTGGTTTGCAGGAGGGACAGAGACAGGGAGAGAGTGGCGCACTCTCCAGGAGGGCCGGCTTTGGGACAGACTCCTGAGAGAGGAACACGAGGCGGCAGGGCAGGGAGCGGGTCAACTCTGCCCCGCCTCTGAAGCACAGCGGCCTGGGAGGAAGAAGGTCCGGCAAGAGTGGAAACCAGAGAATCTGTTTAAGGACATGGTGATATGTATAAGGATGGAAAAGATCTCCATAGTTTTTAGAAATCAAGCAATGTGTATCACACTCACACACACTTTGAGTTTTTCCTCTCTCTACATCTCTCCCCCTAACACCATTGTTAAAAGCTAGACTTGGTTGTTTTTTTTAATTTATTGTGGTAAACTATACATACATTTACCATCTTATCCATTTTTAAGTGTACAATTCCGTGCCACTAAGTTCATTCACATTATTGTGCAACCATCTCCAACGCTTTTTTCTCTATACCCATCAAACAGTAACTCCCATTCCCGTCCAGCCCTTGGCAGCCACAACTCAACTTTGTGTCTCTATGAATTTGACTGCTGTTGGTACCTCTTATAAGTATAATAATAAAATTTGACCTTTTGTATGTGGTTTATTTTACTTATCATAATGTCTTCAAAGTTCATCCATGTTATAGCATGTGTCAAAATGTCCTTCCTTTTTAAGGCTGTATAATATTCCATTATGTGTATATATGATATGTTTTGTTTCTCCATTCAACCATCAATGGACATTTGGGTTGCTTTCCCTTTTTGGCTATTGTGAATAATGCTGCTATAAACATGGGTGTCTAAATATCTACTCAAATCTCTGCTCTCAATTCTTCGGGACTAAATATCTAAAAGTAGAATTGTCGGGCCATAGACATATCTCTTTAAAAACTGTCTTTATTATGGAAAAGCAACATCCACAAAACCAGAGGGGACAAAATAAATACCCCCAACCACCACTGACTCGTGGCCAAACTTGTTACATCCAAAACCCCTACTCCCTTCACCATTGGAGTACTTTAAAGCAAACGACAGACACCTTATTGTTAAATTCATATATATTTCAGAGTCTACTTCTAGCAGAAATGATCTGTATATTTCTTAGGGAGTAATGTACATGGTGAGCACCTAATTATTAAACACCAATATGGATAAACACTCATTGAATATCAATCATTGTTTGAAATTTTGTTAAAAACTGGCAGTCTTTTAAAGAAGTGTTTTATTATAAATTTTTTCAACAAACTAGAAACTAGAGAAAATTGAACAATGACCCCTCATGTGCCCATCACCCAGCTTCAATGATTACCAATATCAAAGTAGCACTCATTTTAAAAATCTAGACATTTCATTGTTCAAAGGATACTCTGACACTTTATTCTTCTGGAGGACAGAACCAGGCTGGAATGGACCTGAGAACAGGAAAATCCCTTTTAATTCGGGAAAGGTTTATTAATCATCACTTAAAGCAAATATTTTAAAATACCTAATCTTTGCCATAAATGCTCAGAAATATCAATCTGCGTTCTCAGGAGCAATGTGACCTGTGGTTTATCTGAGCTCACTTGTCTTTCCTTCCTGGCTTACACCCTGGTCACTTTCAGCTTTCCTAACCTAGAGGGTTATTCACAGAAAGAACAAGCTGACATTTAAATAAAAGCAATGTCTAGGAAGTTAGTATTTCTCTTTTTAACTTAAACACAGAAATTGTGTGGTCAAGAACTTATGCTGTACAGCTATCTAACTTCTTATTTAATGTGGAATTTGTATAATTTTAGAAACAGATGCATTTCCTGGTTATTTTCATAAATGATTGTATCACTAAGCTTTTGTTGCACAACAAATCACCCCCAAAATTTAGTGGCTTAAAACAACCACCATCAAGATGAGACAATTTCCCCTATTATATATCAAAATGTATTGTCATTGATTCTAAGACATAGTTTATCTTTGAAGTCAGACTACAAAGAAGTAACAGTTTATGACATTGTAAAATTACTCTTCACCCTGCAGCAGTTAGGGCATATTTGTTGTTGCCTTTAGAAAACTGAACTTGGTCGCGGCCATTCACATTAGCATACTTGAGTCAATGTGGTATGCATATCTTAAATGAAGCAGTTTTCAAAAAGATTACATTATAATTCAGTGTGGAAATGGGAAGTTATTGTGTATCAAGGAAAGTGCTGAAACAGACCTGTTGGACAGAAAATTGATATTAGTGAAACAAATTTTCACTGTTGGAAAAATAACCCTGATTAAATAGATACTCCCTTGTAGAGCTGTGCTTCATGAGACCTAAGAAAGGATTAGATGACACTGCTATATATTGTAACTGAAATGCATGCAAAAGAATTGCCCATCACACACTAAGCTTTTCAAAATGAGTGTCAGAAACTGGACCCCCCAAAAATCTTATAATCCATAGTTAAGTATTCATTTAAGAAGTGCTACACTTTCAAAGCTCTTTGTGGCTGACAGAAAATCTAAAATACCATTGGCTCAACAAGCTAAAAATTTGTTTCTCTGAGATATAAAAGAATTCCAGAGGCAGCCTGTGGGATTTGTAGATAGCATTACAAAGTTATTGGGGATATAGGTTTGTTTCATCTAGCTATTCTACTGTTTTCTGTACAGGCTTTCAGCATCGTGTCTGTATTTCAGCTAGCTGATCGGATAAAGAAATGAAAAGAGACCAAAGAGCAAGTGCCAGCTGACTTTCTAGAGAGTTTCTCAGAAGTTGCCCCACAATGTTTATTTTCTTTCATTGATCAGAATATAGTCATCGAGCCACTCCTAAGAAGCCACCCTTACCACTTGCAAGGAGTGCTAGTAAGTTGTTTGTTTTTTTTTAATTCCAGGAAGCCATGCACCCAGTTAAAAATTAGAGGTTCCATTACTGAAGAAGAGAATGAGCTTGGAAAAGTGGCAGTCTCTGTATCAGTTTTCTAATTTATTGGTGTGGAATTGTTTATGGATTCTCTTTTTATTTATAAAATCTCAATAGTGTAATTATTTTTGCTATTTTGATTTTAGTATTTTATATTTGTGTCTTTCTATTCTTCCTTGATCAGCCATGCCAGCACTTTGTTTCATAATTTTTGTCGAAGTATCACTCTTTGGTATTATTGGTCTTCTCTATTGATTATAGTTTTCTATTTTATTAATATATATCCTTTATTAGTTCCTTTCATTTGCTTTCTTTAGATTACTCTGTTATTCTTTATCTGAATTCATGAATTTGACACAACTCATTTATTTTCAACCTTTTTATTTTAAAAACAATAACAAATTTGCATATGTTGCTTTCAAGTTTATATAGGAGTGAGCAAAATAGGTTTACAGTTGTAATACAAATAAATAACACAATAATTAGTAAGTAATAACAAGAATAAACTGTTTCATGTACTCACAACTGTAAACCTATTTTTGCTACCCCCTGCATATATTACTTTCATAGTCACTTAGTTCTAAAAATTACTCCCAGCGATTTCCTCTTAAACTCGTACCTTATTCAGTAAATTATTTTTAAAGGTTTTAATACATGTGTGATTTTAAACTACCTTCCTAATTCAGTTTCATTATGATTAGTAAAATGTTGTGTGAGCTGAAATATCAGTTCTTGGAAATGCGTTATGACTTCCTTTGAAAGTCATGTCATCTCAAAAGAATCCCTAAATCAATTTGCTCATTAATTTGATTTTTAAATTTTTTAAATCCTTACTTTTACTGTTTGTTTGTTTCAAAAAGTACACCTATACCTACCTGGCAGGAGACATACCATGATCACAAAGGTAGTTTTCCCAGGGCAAGGCTTATGCATTGAGCTCCAGATGTGCTGACCCTGCGAGTTCCTCAAATGTGGGAAATTTGACTGCATCATTTGTGGTAGTGGGGGACTGTGTTCATGCTCTCCCCTGAAAAGGAAAAAAAAGTACACCTCTATTAGAGGTGTGTTAAAATCTTGCATTGTGTTTGTGGATTTGTTCATGCCTCCGTGTAATTCTGTCAGTTTTATATTTTGTGGTTAAGTTGTTAAGTACAGTGTTCCTCTTTCTCCCTATTCATGCACCTGTTGTTAAGTATAGTTATATTTTGAAGACCCAAACCGATTATTTGTCTTTAATAGATAAATTTAATACATTTAAATGTATTGCACTGATTCATTTTTATATATTTCTACCATTATATTGCATATTTGTTCTTTAGCATCCTTTACTTATTTTTCCCTCTACTTCAAACTGATTAATTGATAGTTTCCTATCTTTTCCCTTTCATCCTCAACTCTTTTGTATGCTCTATTTGCATTTCTCTACCCTTCATATTATTGTTAATGCCATTCCTATTGTTTTCTGTGAACACTGAAAGTTATATAATAACTCTGTGCTACTCCAGGACTTGAAAAAGACATCACAATTTGCACATAGTAATAACTCTTCCTCTAACTCCCACCCCTTCACATTATTGGCAATCTGAATTTAAATTTACCTTTCCATCTAACAAAAATAACTGTACTTTTGGGTTTTCAAAACATAAGAATGTAATAACTATAACAATGATAGTACAAATGAGAGAAATAGAGCTATAGTTAAGCAAAGTTGCTATATTTTAGCAGAATAAGTCAGTATCAACTGGAAGTAGATTTTTATAAGTTAAAGACACAGATTAAGTTCCTAGAGCAACCACCAACATAAAAAACCCTAAAAAATACCTGAAAAATCCACAGAGGACACCAAAAACATAAACAAGAAAAGAAAAATGGACGCATTGGGTACAAAATTGGTATTAGTGAAAACAAATTGGATAATGTTAACATTAAAAACTTTTGTGTTTCAAAGGATGCCAATAATAATATGAAAATAAATGATAATGGAAAAAATACAATGAAGATTAAATTTTTTAAAAAGAACATGAAAAGACAACCACTGAGTGGGAAGAAATATTTGCAAAGCATGTATTTGATAAGGGAATCTACATACCGATTATATAAAGAACTTTTAAAACTAAGGAATAAAAGGACAAATAACGAATATAATAATGAGCAAAATATCTAAAAAGACATTTCTCCAAAGAAGATAAACAAATGGCCAATAAACATAAAAAGATGATCATCATCATTAATCATTAGACAAATGCAAACCACACAATCAGATACCACTTCACACTCACTAGGATGCTTAGAATGAAAAAAACAGACAATAACATGCTGACAAAGCTATGGAGAAACTGCAACCCTACTACACTGCTGGAGCGAGTGTAAAATAGAGCAGCTGCTTTGCAAAAAAGTCTAGCAGTTCCTCAAAGGAGTTAACATAGTTACCGTAAGACCTAGCGATTCTACTCCTAGGTATATACCTAAGAGAAATGAAAACATTATGTCCGTTAAAAAACCTGTATACAAATGTCAATAGCAGCATTATTCATAATAGCCAAAAAAGGAGAAACAATCCAAATGTCCATCAACTGATGAATAAATAAAAGCTGGCGAATCCATACAATGGAATATCACTTAGTACTAGAAAGGAATGAAGTACTGGTACATGCTGCAGCATGGATGTGTGACAGACATTATGCCAAGTGGAAGATGCCAGCTACAAAGCACCGCATATTTATTATATGATTCTCTTTATTTGAAATGTACAGAATAGACAAATCTACAGAGACAGCCCCTCCTCCTTCTGCCTCCCTGGAAAACTTGGATATAAATGCCTGGCTCTCCAACCATGACCTGGAAGATGGAAGCTTGTGCTAGGAAGGATGATGACATTTCCTCCCAGGTGCCAGCCTTGGAAGGTTTACGTCCAGCCTCTTTTCCTCAAAAGAAGTCTGTTCAAATCACTGTTATTTTGAGTTTTCTGATATCTGCACCTGAACCCCATCTTCGCTGATAACTCTACTGAAGAGATTGTGGGAAGGAATGCACGTAGCAATGGGGTTAAGAAAGGCACATCTCAATAATAAAAAAATTACCAGACAGATAATGTCAAAAACAGACCAAGAAACAGCAACATAAGCACACTATTTAGAAAAGGGAGGAGGAGTGGGAAAAAATAAATAAATAGCAATACAAAATTCTGAAAACATAAAGGAAAGGGAAGAGGAGTAAAACAAACAAATAAATAAACAAAGAAACTGCTAAATGGGATTGATAGCAGTTGTCTCGGAAAGCAGAACTGAGGAACAAGGGACAGGTGGAGAAGGGGCTGCTTCACTGTGTTACAGGTTTTTAAAAAGTTTGATTTTTAAAATTATATGTACATATTATTTTGATAACAATGAAAATTCACTTCTTTAAGAAGAAAAACAACTACAAAACACTTTCTCTAGGGATGCGCATCTAGGCCTAGAAATCTATCTAAGACCATCCCTCTTAGTTCCTGTCCCTGCTGCGTACCTGGCCAGTCCCTGGCAGAGGGACACTCAGAACAGCTGTTCAACATTTAAGGATGACCCACCCCCTGTTCTCAGAACCTTGATGTTCCACATCCTGAAGACTCCTCAATTTAACTACCTCTCCCTACAACATGATAGCCTCATATTGATGCAACTGTTAGAAACAAAGTACCTCAGGGGGTTCATTTCCTTATGTAAGTTCTTTGGCTTTTCTCCTCACTCTCCTTTGCCCCTGGTTAAGTCTAAAGGGAGAAAAATGAAGTAATGTATCTTTTCCCTTTATGACACATTTATTTAATCCCTCCATGTGGTCAGTGTCTAAGATAAAATGGAAGAAAAAGAAAGAATTCCTCCTCTCAAAGTGATTAGAGCCTAGAGGAGGAGAAAGACCTTCAAAGGGCAATACTCAGCATTTTTAACAATGTGACAAATGATATGTTAGAGGGGAGGCACAGCTGCCCTGGGGGCCCAAGGTAGGGCCTCCTAACCCCCCCTTGAAAGGCTCCCAGAGGAGGCAGCATCTCAGATAATACCTAACACAAGAGCCTGCTAGTGAAACTGGTTGAACTCCCGAGCAGGGCTAATTATGTTGCGAGAAGCAGCGGGTCCCTGGGGCTTCTAGAGATCCTTTAGGTGAAGAAGGGAGAGCTGAGAGGAAGCTTCTAGAGATCCTTTAGGTGAAGAAGGGAGAGCAGAGAGGAAGCTTCTAGAGATCCTTTAGGTGAAGAAGGGAGAGCTGAGAGGAAGCAGAGAACACAAAGGAGTTCAGGACTCAGGATAAGCTGCTCTTCAGCTGACTGAAGAAGACAAGGAAAAGATCTTGTTACTTGACAAACACTTTATAAAGGAAATTGCGATGAGCAAAGTCCTGTGGTCTGAGCCCTACTCCCGGGAATGTACTAAGCCTGAGGCTTCTCCAATCCTTTCTCGTATTTCCCTCCGAAACCCCCAGAGTCTGTGATTCCATCTTTCCCTGCAGACGGGGGCATGGAATGCAGGAAGTTTGCTCCACTTGGGTCTGGGCATGAACAAGTGGGTGGGAGCAAGGTGTTTGATCCAAGGATTGAGGTGAGAGGTCTGACCAAGGAGAGGATCTGGAAGAAGCTTGAGGAAACCTCCAAACCAGGCCAAGAGCCCCAAGCAATTGGAGACTATCCCTCTACTGTGCCGCATTCTACCTCCAGCCTCCAGGACTTCAGTGGGAGGGAGGAGGAGGATAAGGGAATATGTTGTTAAGGGAAAGGATAAGTCTGTGAAGTCTGGGTCTCCAGGGAGAGGCACCCTTCCCCAACTGTGCACTCTTGTCTACTCTTAGGCCCTGAATGGCATCCGCAGAAAGTTATCCGCAAGTCAGTGTTGGGGACCCTTCTGGGTACTTTGTGTGAACTTCTTCCTTAGGGGTAGCCCAGAAGTCGCCGTGAAAGGAAGGGGGCAGAAGCTCCAGCCTCACTCTCCTCTCTTCCCGCTTCCTCAGTCACCACTCCCAAACCCTGCTTATCTCTTGTTCTTCCTGCCTTTGGTTAGCATTCCCCACCCCCCGCCCCCCGCCCCACCCCCAACCCCACCCGCTGCCCCGTTCAGGCTATGGAGTCAGTAAGGCACAATCTTACCAATGTCCAACAGCTGGTGCATAACAATCATTCAGTAAATTCACTCAGAGTGTGTGAGCCCCTGCAATTAATGGTGCTCCCTCTCAACAGGGACTGAATTTCTAGTGGTATCATCTCCAAATTTCAGACCCCTTCCTGAAGAAATGGGAAGAACAAAGAGTTGGGCCAAAAGGCACATACGAGTCTCAAGGATCGCATTCACAGAGCGCCCCGAGGCTTGCGATCCCTGCCCCACTTCTGGAAGGTCAGTCTGTTAACAGCACAAGCCCTCACTTGGGACACTTGGAATGTAACTCTACTGGTCAAGCTAGGGATTCAATCTTTACTTTCACATCTTTGCCGAAGCCCAGCCCTCTCCTTGGCCCCTTCCCTACATGTTGCTGGAGCTCTTTGAACGCATCTTTTCAACAAAGCCGACTCCGTCCTTGAAGTTTATCAGGAGATTCAACTGTTTAAACCTAAAAATTTCACCATGGGGCAAGGTATTTCGACATCCTGGGTGACCATTTTTAACCTAGGACCCTCCCCTTGGCTCTCCTTTTCCACGCGCTTTCTCTTAGGGACACTGCAGGGGAACTAGACCAGCCACTACCCCGGTTCACTGCAGTGGGGACAGCCACTGCTCCTTCCCCACACCTTCACCTGTTTTCGTGTTTCAAAGTACAGGGTCTGGCACAAACGACGCCCCCTTTTTTTATTACTAACTCTTTTATTACAAAATCATAAGCATGTAATTCTGTAACACAACAGTATCGCACTGGAATGCACCATATGCCATTTTAGGTGAAACGTTCAAATTAAAACTATAAATTATTGCACCCATATTATTACCCTACCAACCACGCTCAAGCATATGTCCCTTCTGCCAGATGCTGTATAATTATCCAGAGCCTTGGAAGCACCTTGATGTACTCCTT